CAACCTTTATCGTACTATGATTAACTCCACTAGGGGGTTAGTTAAAGTGTGACATGTAGCATGAAGGAGGGGCATTAGGATTTGGTTGTGTAGGGGGGGAGGGGTTATGGGGATGGCTGGGTAGCGGAAAAGGGATTACGGGCTATGTAAAAGAGGGTTACAGGATGGATGTGTAAGGGAAGAGGAGTTACGGGGATGGATGGTAGTGGATAGAGAGATCACGGGTTGTGTAGTGGAGGTTTATGTGAAGAGGCGGTGTCGGGAAAAGGGATTATGATAGGGAGTCGGGGAGGGGAGATGAGTTATGGTGCAGCAAGGAGGAACGGGATTGGAGGATGGTTAGCAGTAAAGCGAGCAAGCCACGAGATGGGGAGGGGATCTGATAGCGGTAAGACTAGGACAGAAGGTGGCTAGAAGGCGTGATTGGGAGCAGGTAGGGTGAGGGCCGACGACTGGATGGTTATCAGAACAATGACAGCCGTTGGAGAAAGAGAGATGAGCACTACCTCAGGACGAATTACAGTCAGAGCGCCTCCTCGCTGTCCTCGAACGAAAAAGTGGATGTCGGCAGTTGTCCTCGAATATATGAAATGAAACTCATAGAAAAACCAACCCTAAACACAACAAATAACTTATTTATAATAATACATAGATAAAGAGAGGAAGGCTCCTCCCCTTGGGCAGTAAAAGCAGCCCCCCTTGGACCAGCTATTCCAAGTAATAGTAGAGTTGAAGGGGTTCAGCTGAACCAGTAGTTCAGACCTCCTAAGCCTCGTGTCAGTCTCCTGGGGTAAGGGAGCTTCGACTTCATTTTTCGAAGCTTCTGGTTCCTCATAGCACAGCTTCAAGTGGTCTGATAGGTCAATCAAATAGATATTATTGTTCCAAAGCACATTCTGATATAATAGGTATCTCTCCACCTTTGGCACAACATGAACTAGAACTAGAGATAGACAAGTATTATCACAAATTAGGTATCGACCTATCCCGATTGTAACCTACTTCTTCCGCTCGTATTAGGATGAGTGAAGCTGATGAACTAGGATGTGAGGAGAAATTAACTCCACGGTGAAATTTGTGGCAGGCTGCACCACTCTCACTAGCACTCACTCAAAAAAGACATTTTCGTTGATAAGGCATGGATCTCATTGAAGAATTTTCGTCCTCATCAAGCTCCTCTGGTCATTACAAAGCTAGGGTTCATCCCTCCTATCTGGACATCTGGCGATGAGTGCCATGCCAAACTGAAAATAATCTCTGAATGACTTCACGTAATATTCCAGACATGACACACAGTAATTCTACTTCTGATATGATGGACATCCCTCCATAAAGGGTAACATAGAAAGGAGTCTATGCATCTGAAAAATATGCATTTCTCTTATCTGTGGTGGGTCTGTATCTGATGTCGACTCCTCAAACTTATAACCCTTCCAAACTTCCAAGATCGGTCCTGTTGATGTTCCTCTCAACACCTGCAAAATGCTAGGTCGAGGCACCATAATATCATACTCGGTCGGAATGTCCATTGCATCGGAGTCACCATCTTACAGAATAGTTATTGCTACCTCAAATAAAATCTCCATCTTGGGGTCAACTGGAATTAATAGTGTCTCTTCTCATTGGTTATAAGTTGAAAATCCTCTCTAAAGTCTTCATCTTCTCCCGAATCAATTATATCATTGCCCAATTTTTCAACAACACACAGTTTAGTGAAACAGATCACTCCTCTGACTGTGCATTCTGAGTCAATATGCCCAAATTCGTGGCACATACAACACTTCATGACTATGGCAGATTTAATGATGCGGATTGACTTTACCTGTTCTCCACTCAAAATCAACTCTTCCTCTAGCAAGGTCGTCTTGGGTGCGCTCCTGTGTGTATTCGGACTGCAAGATCCTGAGGTTGAAATCTACCTGTAGGATGTGAGGGTCACTTGGTATTGTGTTCACTTCCCTTCTGAAGAAAAGTCTGCACCCTCTGTCAGTAGTAAGCTGGTAGGAATTGGCACTTTGTCTCCTGCTTCATCCGATTCTCTCATTCTCCAAATAGTGACTCTTCTTTCGGCCTCCTCTGATATCGGATTCCACGGCGTCGTGGCTGATCATCTTTATCACGAAAGTCCTCCCAATGGAAGGGATTCAGATCCTCGTTTTTCGCTCCCCTTCAACTTTCCCGATCCTGGTCGAGGGTAGTCTCCTATTATATTTCATTCTCAATGTCTGCAAGCCTCCACTGAAGTTGGCGGATCTCTCACAGTATCTCCCCCAGGTAGGCTATAGCATGTATCTCCTTAGTGGCATGACTGAGATTTAGGATTGGGAGGTAAAATAGGTTAAAAATAATTGGTTTAATATTGCTGATTTGGAAAATCAGCAAGTAGAAATTAGGTTAAAGATATGTGGAAGTGAAAAGATTATTTGGTGGTAGGAAGAAAAATTTTTTGGGTTACGGCGGATGCTAGGAAACTTTAGGATAGACTAGGGTTAGGCTAGCACTTATAACAATGATACCAGAGTTAAGTAAAATTACAATGAAAATAAGAATCTAATTGTTGAAATTCAAAGGTTACAGTGACGACTCTTCAAAAATAGGAAATAAATGATAACAAACATAAAAATAACACACTAGGGTGATGGCAAAGGGATGTGTGGCGGATAGTCTGCAGGGGAAGAATGAATGTGAGGGTTGGGCAACAACAGGAAGGTAAGTTGAGGGTGGCGGCAGGAATAGAAGGGTTGGATATGGGTCTATGGCAGCAGGTTTAAGTTGGAATGGGGGTTGTTGTAGGAGGAGGGTTTTGGGTTGTAGCAGGATCGAGGAGGGGCGTTTGGGGTTGGCAGTGTATAGGGAGAGGGGTTACGGGGATGACTGGGTAGTGGAAATTACGGGTTGTGTTACGAGATGGTTATGTAAGGGGAGAGAAGAAACGGGGATGGCCGGGTAGTGGAGAGGGAGATTATGGGTTGTGTAGTGGAGGGTTACGGGAAGGGCGGTATAGGGAGGAGGCATTATGATAGGGGCATATGGAAGGGAGATGGGTTACGGTACAACGAGGAGGAGAGGGATTGGAGGGTAGTTAGTGGTAAGGCAAGCATGCCACGGGATGGGGAGGGCCTCTAGTAGCGGTAAGACTAAGATGGAATGGGGCTAGAAGGCATGATTGGGAGCAGGTAGGGGAGAGGACTGACGATTGGAGAGTTGCCAGAACACTGACAACGGTTGGAAAAAAAGGAGATACACACCACCCCATGACGAGTTACAGTTGGAGCACTTCCTCACCGAGCGAATGCTGTCGACTATCCTTAAAAATTTGAAATGAAACTCACAGAAAAACTAACTCTAAACACAATAAATAACATATTTATAATAATACATAGATAAGGAGGAAGAGGCCCATCCCCTTGGGCGGTAAAACCACCCTTGAACCGGCTGGTCCAAGTAATAGTAGAGCCTAACCATTCAGCTGAACCAGCCAATTCAGCCCTCCCATACGATAACATTATCTACAAAGGCATGCAAATTTGTAAACTGTCATTAGATCAATATTCCTCAATGGAACAACAAAACCATCAAATTTGTGCATTCCTGCACTAGATCAAAAGTATCTGATCTATGTCATTCCCATTATTTTGTATGTGCTCAACATCCCTATCACCTTAATAAGTGGGCTTATTGTTCCCATCAACTATGTTGGCTTTGATAGAGACTTGAATTTTCATTTAAATTTGGCAACCACCAAAGAGAGATCCTAAGAGCTTGAGTTTGGTTTGAGTTCTAATTAAATTCTTATAAAAAAATATGGGATGTGGCTTGAGCAAATATGGGATGTGGCTTGAGCTCAATTCAATTCATTTATACTCATAACATAGAAGATCAATAACTTGACTTAAGGATTTGTCATAGCTGAAGACTATTAAAATATAAATTTCAATTTAGAATCTCAAAAAATCAGCGAAGCTATGTTACAATAATGAAATGAAGGGCAAACTAAGTGACAACAAAGATAGAAAGTGTACACATAAAAAATTGATAGGTCAATCAGATCTATCAACGCATGAAATCAATCCATGGGCCAATCGCAAACCACCAAGTCATTCCATGGATCAATTCAGATTAGACCTAATCAAGTGTTTATTTGCAGCCAACTCACTGCCATCTTAGCACAATCTGGGGAGGTGACTTCGACAACTCATTAGCTCACCCAAGGTTCAGACCAGCTTGCAACTTAGTGGAACAGTACATAAACTTGTCGACAGAAATATCAAGAGTTTACCCAATTAATAGCTCGGATCCTATATACTATGCAGCACAAGCCAATCCAACACCAACTTTCGACAAATTCACTTGAAGATAGGATGATAAGCTCGCCCAACAAATGATTCGGTCTCATACACAGCTAATTCGGCCTCAATGAGTTTGGCACCCTATTGACTTGTTGACTTATCCTATCTATCAATGTTCAAGGATATTATATGATCTTTTAAGCCACAAGAGATATTATTGCTCAACATGCACCACAAGCTAAACCTCAATACCGGACATCATCATGTACATTTGTTATAATATTATTTTCATTCATATAATCATTATACTCCATTGTATATAAATTGAAGTCATGTATAAATATATAAAAACGTGATGAGTGATATAACAAGAGGGGACAATACGAGCCTAGCCTCATTCTTTAACCCCCATTGTTCACTCTCACTTTCTCTACCTCAATCCTGAGTGCTCTTATCTCGGTGGTATGTTAGTCGAAAAAATTTGTATCCAATAGAAAGATTTGGTATTAGCTGAAAAACTGTGCCAAAAGGAACCTTATTAGAAAGATGAAGAAAAAAAATCAATCTTTCCAAATACCGCCATTAACATTAAATGAAAGAATCCAATCAAAGAGCACTCCAATTAGCCATTATTAGAAAGATCCAAAATAATAATTAAACAAACAACTTCAAAAGCGATGGTATCCAAAAACAAAGATGTTCATCACTCACAGCCTCTGCCGTATCTAGAATGTTGATTCCCCGATCAAATGCATAGCTTAGCAACTCATGAGCTTCCTTCTCTGTGTTCTGCTGCCCATATGTCATCTAAAAAAAGTGAAAGGAGTAATGCTTAATCACGTTTTCAACCAAAGAACAGACATCACACTCTCCAACATAATGCCGGCCTAAAAATATTAAACTCCGAAGACTTTCCGAAGCTCAGATTTTTATCATTCAAGCAGCATTTTCTTAAGAAAATAAGGAATAATGCAATAAGAATAGGAAGTAATATACGGTTCCCATTGTTATTTCGCTGATTTCGAGCTCAGAATCGCCGAGCTTCCGAAACTGCAAAGGGCTACCCTCTTGCGACGCTCTAATGGGAGACGTAAGTGGCCGCCGCCGAGAACGGCCGCCATGAGCTGTTGTACGCCGGCAATGCCCAACGATAGAAATCGAGAAGTCGTGGTGAGTGACGGCGCTTGGAGGGCAAGGCCCGGCCAGCATTTTTTCCGTTTGCCTTGATGCGGTGGTGGCGATTCCTTTTTGCACCCAGTCTTATCTGCTTCAAAACGTGCCCGTTTGGCTTCCATTGAAGTATGATTGAGGCTGGATTTAAGTCGGCATATTTTAGAAGTAGTTTAGAAAGAGTTTATTTTTCTGGGGCGTTTAGTCGAGTGAATTAGTGATATAATATATATTTTTTAATAGAAATTTGATAAAAAAAATTTATAAATGCAATGTAAAATTTTAATGTATTTGAATTTTATATGGTAAGAGTTGAATTTAGAATTTGGTTGAATTTGAATACGAAAGTCACTATCGCCCGCCTTTGCACACCACCCCCCACCCCCCCCAGGCCACCCGAAGTTGACATCCGCAAGTTTATAATGAAACTAACCGTCTCGTTATGATGAATCCATTATGTAATAATTTGCTCAATCCAAGTCCAATTAAGTCATAATCAAGCTATTAAAGTATGCTTGTAGACTTCGATTGTAATTGAATAGTCAATTGAACTCCTAGTTTGACATTCTTATAGTTAAATTGTGTGTCTTGACCAAAAAAATCCAGCAAGCCTAAGCTCGCTAACTTTTGAGATTACAAAGGCCCCATATGATTAAGGAGAATCGGTATGGATCAGTATGTGGCATCTGATCATATGGTTATGGGTGATATTCGTCAAATAACCAAACTACCCATTTCTAGAGGCTATAAATATACCCATCTCTTCACTTAAAAGAGGGAGGAGAAGAAGTTACATTTCAGTGTTGTTTTGGACTAAAGACATGATCATAACTTTCAACCTCTATAGTCATCAACCATTGTCGACCACCACCTATCTTCGTTGTCGACAATAGCCGGCCGTCCACTACTCAAAATCATTCACAAACTCTAATTGCTAATGAATTATACAAAATATGGAGTAACAAAATATCTCAAAAATGAAGCAAAAAAGTATCCCAAATATAGGGTAACATAGCATCCCAAATAAGTTGTAACGAAATTTCCTGAATACTGGGCAACAATATATCCTACATACAGTGTAATGAGATCCAAATACAAGAATATAAATAAGATCATATTGAAGATATGATAAATCTCAATGATAATTACTTATGACCGTCGTATTTATAATGTAATGACTTTCTTCAGACTCCCAAAATTTTATCCTTACTTTGCATATCAATAGGTGATGTCTCTTGTATAAAATAGTAACCTTTTAAAAGAGTTGCAGTTACCAACTGGTGTGGTACCAACCATGTACTATGTGACTAAATATAGTCTATGCTGCTAACAACTAATACAGCTACCGGCCACAACCTATGTGACTGAATACGACCTATGTAGTTAACTGCTACTGCAACTACTGACTATGACATGTATAGCTAATTTTTTTACTGAGGTTACCAACTATAACCTATATGACTAATAATAATCTATGTAACTAATTGCTACTACAACTATCAAATACGACCTATATGGCTAACTACACCTTATGTAGCTAACTCTAATTGTGTCTACCAACTACGACCTATGTAGCTAATTGCTATTACAGTTATTAACTATGATCTATGCGATTAACTACGACATATATAACTAACTGCTATTGTAGCTACCAACACTACAGAAATTGTGGTGATTAGTGTCAGATAATTTAAACGCTAATCATTGATAAATTTGATGCAAATCGCTATTAGCCTCGAATTTGCATCCAAAAAACATTGTTGTTAAAACAAGCATCAATAAAAGAAGTGGCATCAACATTGCGTCGAACTTTTTTTTTGCGTCGGATTTAATGTCTGTAATCTCTGTCGTTATAAATTATCATCGGATACCTGATCGACACAACAATTGCTTCAGTTTTAGCGTTTGTGTTTACCAAAGTCTAGTGCAAATTTGCTAGCATTGGAATTGCATCTCCAAAAATCGATCAAGTACTTGCAGGCATGAGTCTAATTTTTTGGCATTATTCTAAGGCAAACAAAAAAATAAAGATTAGATTTTTACATACCTGCACATGATAAATTTGAGCATCGTAATAACTTACTTTTCCATCATCACAACCGAAAAAAAAAATTTCATAAACAAGTATGAACAATTATATAAAATTTAATTAAACAAGTATAATTCTAAACATTCAAAGTTCACAACTACATAGAATTAATGTCCCCATAATTAGAAATGAAAAAAAAAAAGAAAAAATATTAGCCTCTATGGCAGGGAAACATCATCAACACAAAATGAAAATCTTAATCCTGCTCCTCATCCTCTTCCTCGTTAACAACACTCATATGTTGCTTGCCCTGGAGATCAAACTCTTTATCAAGCATACTAGACCATCTGCTTGCCATCACACATCTCACAGAGTTATTCATTCATGGCGCTTACTCGCCTGACGAAGAGATCATGCTGAGACTGTAATGAGCTAGGGCCACCACAATAAAATGAGAGCGCTTAGCATCAAATGCAATGCCCTCTATGCATAAGGCGTACAACCTCCCCTTTTTCTTCCTCGCCTTCTGCATCCATAGCTCAAAAATTGGACTAATCAGCGGTAGACTGGCTACCACTACTACTAGTGAATGGCGAGATCTGGCTCACCAGCTCTCTCTGCCTCTTTCGGAGCTACTCATACCCCTCCTACATAATTTAAATCAATGATTAATTTTCATTTTAAATATTAATAGCCACAAAACGTAGAAAATTAATTTTCTTACTTACATTGACACGAAGAGAGTAGTCGGAGACCCACTGTTGCGGACCCGACCACCGATGTGTCGGGACATGCAATTCTATAGTGGATGGCTCTCCGTCAAGCTACTTGGCATATGTACTTCAAATAAAGACAAGTATCACATAAATAGTTCTACGTGATACTTTTCTTTCACACACGAGACTTGATGTATTCCTTCGCCTCAACCTTCCAACTTGAATTCAACTAATAATTAAGATTCACAACCATATTATCATCATATTAAGCAAAGTTATCGAAAACATTCAGTCCTAACAAGAGCATCAAATGGTCAACGTTTAATGCATGTGACCAAACCAGTTAAGACAACTTTCTTTAATAATATCTCCCATTTCTTGTGCAACACCAACCCTTTTCACGGATACATTCATTTAACACTTTGTCCCTAAACCTAAACTCACTCATCCACCTTAGCATTATATCATCCACCCAAATTGAAAGTCATGCATCCACCTGAACTTAGTTTTTCAGATGAAAATCACAATATTCCTATGCATTACATGGCTAACATCTAAACCTTATTTTTAACATAAAAAGCACACAATTCTTATGCATTACATAGCTAAAACCTAAACCTTACATTTCACAAAAAACCACACAATTTATATGCATTACGTAGCTCACATAAAATTTTTTTTCCAAATAAAAATTACCCAATTCCAATGCATTACATATCTAACACCTACACTTCACCTTCAACATAAACAAAAAATATATTTCCTTTGCAGTACAAATATGACACCAAAATTTAATTTTTTTTTACATGGGCATAGAAAAAAAATCTAAAAATCGCAAGAATCAATAACTCAACGGAGAAAGTAAATATATATAGGTAGAGGAGGATTTCAAGCCTGCGCTGCGAAATCATCTGTGGGAGTTGGCTGGAGACACTGGAACCACACATTAGAGAGGGAGGAGCGTCGGGTGTCAACTTGTTGTGAAATGACTGGAGAGGAAAATTTAAGTAAATGAGGTGTTCGACTCAGTGGAGAAGATATTAGGGCATTAGCTCGACTTAGAGTCAAAATTTTCTGATGTTAATAAGTTTACTTATTATTGTCGAAATTTTTCGATGCTAGTTGACGCAACCTTGCCCAAACCTCCGAACATAAAAGTTTTTAGACAACAAAACTGCGCTCGATGAAAAAAGATGCAAATCTAACGCTATTTTTGCATCAACACAACATCTGAAACTAATTTAATGCTAAATACAGTTTTCCTATAGTGCAACTATGGTCTATGTGATGAACTATGACCTATATAACAAATTTCTACTGTAGCTACCTACTACAACATTTGTGACTTACTACAACCTATGTAGCTAACTTCTATTGCAACTACAAACTATAGCCTGTGTGACTAACTGCAACTTATATAGCTAATTGTTATTATATTACCAACAATGAACTATGTGATTGATTGATACTACAACTGTCAACTTTATCTTATGTGATTAACTATGACTTATGTTACTAGTTATTACTACAACTTCCCACTACGGCCTTTGGGGCTAACCGACACTCTTACAGCTACCAAATACAGTCTATGCAATCATTTACTGCCACAACTTTCCACCATGACCTCTATGGCTAATTGACGCTTTTGCAGATGCTAACTATGACATATGTGGGTAGTCATTACTATAACTTCTCGTTACGGCCTTTATAGCTAATCGACACTCTTGCATCCACTAACTGTAGCCAATGTGGTCAATTACTGCTATAGCTTCCAAAGAATACTTTTGTGGTCGATTGATGCTTTTACAACCAACGTCTATGACCTCTGTGTTTAATTGTTATTATTGTAGCTACCGACTATAGCCATTATGACCAACAACTGTCTTAATAGCAACCAACTATAATCTTTGTGATTAATTATTACTATTATAGCTAAAAGGTAAATTTTTTGTAGTCGAATTATGATTATCATAAATAAATTGTTATTATACATCTATGATTATCAATATTGTAATTCCATCTTCTTCAATGCAAGAGAGACTGGTGAACACATTTAATTACAATCATATAATGAATTACTTTGACTAAGATAGGCCCTAAGTTTTTTTTCTTTTTCAAGAGTTTTTCCACGTAAAAATCTTGTCGTCTCCTCTTGCAACTTTTTTATTATTTGTGAGTGTGCAGGATCTTCGTGCATACAAAGATGTTAAATTAACACTCTACCACTACAAATTCTTTGGCATGCAGCAAGTCCAGTCTATGCCATCTCATTCTAAGAAGAGAACTTAAAAGATATGTATGCTAAGTATAAAAATGAGGATTTAAGAAAAAACTAGAAATCAAATGGAAATGGAGAAAAAGAGAATCTCTTATCATGTTGAATCAAGAGTAGAAATAAAGTTTTCTTGATCTCTTTGTTGTTATTTATCACTAGAGCAATTTCTCATACAGAGCTTATTTTCTAATCATTCCAATATCTTTTTTTTTTCATCCAAAATCAGGGAAGGTAGCTTTCTTTTCCACTACATTTCATTGAAACTTGTTTTGTTTTTTCTCACCATTTGTGAGGGCTTGGGATTTGTTTGGTGAACTGCAGCATTAAATGAACTTAGCTTGGCAACCATGCTATGTTTTTTTACCAAGTCTAATTTCTCAGTTTTATAAACATAATTTTCTTCCAAGCCCTGAATAAAAAGCCTTTGATGCACGCCTGCCAGTATACCACCAGAACAATGCTTAGAGTTCAACTATAAAGCTTTTTTAGAAGCTGCAATTAGGTAGAATTCAAGATTAAATTCGTTAATTACATTTTTGTAGAGCACAACTAAAGTATAATTGCGCTTAGGCACCAATGCCGGCCTAGCAAAGGTAAAAATATTACATCAGGATTCTTAACTTAGAGCTACGTTCGCAGTTCACTGATATGCAGCCACGTGACTTCAAATACACGCGAGCGGTTTTTTGTGATCGGGCCCGGTAACACAGGAGAATATTCCTCCTGTGTTATTCCGCTTTATTCAGATGTTACTGTAGTCGAATTTATGTTTTATTATAATACCGAAAATATTCCCATAACACAATAACACATGAATACCACCACAATAACACCTGAATAATGCAAGATAACACGGGAGGGATATTCTCCTACGCTAAAATGTTTATTTTTTTTATTTTTCCGTTATCTCCACATGTCCGCATATAAGTAGACTCCGAACGTAGCTCTACATTAGGACTCCTAATATAATATTTTTTCCCTAAGGAAGTCCCTCAATTCATCAATCCGTTTGTGAGAAAACAATCCAAAACAATTTAATAATAATAACAGTCAAAAATTCAATTTTTAAAACATATTATTGCCATTTTCTCTTCTACAAAACACAGATGCCATTATATTAATTAGCATTATCCTAATAATAAGATACGCAACGAATGCCCATAATCGACAGGTTGCCAGATTGTCGTTGATGTATTCGCCGCTGACAAACGCGTCTGACCACCAACTCTTGGCCCCCGTTCGGCTCAAAAAAATGAAGTTTTTCCACATTATTTATTTATTGTTGCTTTCTACCCAGCTATTTTGTCAGCTAATACGTTCTAAAACTAATCTAAGTAAAGTAGTAGTTAGATGAAGTTGATAGTTTACTGAACGGATATGCAAGAAGTTGCATTGCATTAATGTTTCAGTCCACAAAAAAAAAAAAAAAAAAAAATAGGAAATTTTACGTCAGCACACACTTGTTATTTACTTGCATATCTCATGTAGCATTTCATTGCTTTAATCCTATCATGAAAATGTATATTTCAGTTTTAAAAAGTGATGGCAATATGTGATATTAAAGATTTGAGAATTATGCATGTACATATGAAAGACTAGGTGTTAGATATGTAAATATATAAAAATTATGTTCTATATATATATATATAAAGTTGTGCTGCAAGCCGTGGTCTGTTGGTTAGCGGGTTTCACTATAAGCCCCCTCAAGTTACGGGTTCGATCCCGATAAGTTTTTGAATATTTAGGCACATGACACGGGTTCTCATCATGGGGTCTAGCGTAATGCCGATTTACTTTATAAAAAAAAACACATGCCCCCAAAAAAGTTATTATTCATCAATAAAAAAATATAAATTTTCATTAGAGTGGGTAAAATTTAAGAAGATTTGGAAGGAAGTCAGGAAAACAGGCTGGCAAAGCATCCGGAGTACGCAGACGCACCCGGAACTGCGCCGAGCGCGCTCGCCTCGCTCACATATAATTTCTTCATGTTACCTCGCTGATGGCTCAGCAGCCGAACCAAACTGCGCTTCGCGTCTGTCCTGAACTCACAACCCTTTCCGCCCCCGAGCCCATCGACGAGGTGCAGATACGCTTCAAGGTCATGACAGCAACCCGGATCCGCATTCGGTTTCAGAAACGGGGAAACCCGACTGTCCACTCTCAGTTCCCTCCCCACATGCTCGTACCCTTCCCACCACCCGCCAAATTCCCCCGGAATCTTCGTCACCAAATCATGTTTGTTCACCACACGCAGAACTTTAACACCTCTCCGCTCGACGCTCTCCGCGAACGCTCGGTTGCCGACTCTCGGGCCCCCGAATGAGAAAACGGCGACCGGCGGCGATTTGGACATGTTGGAGCAAGTGGTGATCAGGTCGTTGGCGACGAGCAACGCAAGCGCGGCGCCGAGGCTGTGTCCGGTTACAGTAATGCTTAGCTCTTCGTAGCGATAGAGCTCGGCTAGCCTTTGTATTTCTTCGGATACTGCGGCGGATAAACTAGGGACGCGCACGCCGGGGCTGTGGTACAGATTACGAAACCCACACTCGACTTTCAGGTTAGGGGAGGCGAGAGGAACGAGATTTGCACGGAGGTTCTCCGCCCATTCGAGGAAGGTGGAGGTGCCGCGGAGGGCGATGAGGATGTCACGACGGCCCATGCGGCGGATCTCTCGTTCGTTGTCGCAAACGGCGACGAAACCGATCCAGCTGGAGCCGTGGGAGGGCCAGGATGGGGGGAGATTGAAGGATGCGGTGGCGAAGAGGTGGCGTGTGAGGCGGTATGAAGGGTCTGGGAAGAGGACGGTGCGGGCGTCATGGGTGGCGGCGCCGGTGGGAGGATGGAGGAAGGCTTCATAAGCGGAGTGAATGAAGTCGCCGTAGCGGAGGAGTTCGCGACGGAGATCGGAGTCGAGGGGGTCGAGAAGACCGGACCAGTCGGAGGAGCCGTGGAGCTCGCGCCATCGGGTTGGGATGGGGCGATGAGGGGAGGGGTGGTGGGAGGAGTCTGAGAGGAGGTGGCGGAGGTGGGCGAGGCTGCGTGGGGAGGCGGGTTCTTCAGGTGAGGGTTGGGGGAAGGGGAGGGAGGGGAGGAGGAGGTTGGTTGGTATGGACTTGAGACGGGAGATGTAGCGGGAAGAGAGATCGGACGGGAATAGGGTTTGGGGGGGAGGGAGAAGGGTGGTGGCGGCGGCAACGTGCATGAGGGAGTCGCCACTGTTGCGGCTCAGGGATAGGAGGTGGAATGTGGACGTGAATGGGAACCGGCGGGGACTGTTCGAAATGCCTATATATATATATATATAGGCTGCATTAATTATTAATTGATTAGCGTTTAGTATGAGATTTATTTATACAATTGTAAGAATATATTCTTAAAAGTTTAATTGGATATGAACATATTTTAGCAAATAGATGTTATCAGGATACGAGATATTTGTCATAATCCGAGTTAATTTTTTTTTAAAAGAAACGATAATATTAAATTTTATACACTTTATTACAATTTTTCAAATTTTAAATTTTGTCATGATGCGTCATCAATAATTTTTTTTAATAAAAAATGAATCTTGATGTAATTTTGATGAAGGACCTTTAAAATTCAAATTTATAACTATCGCGCTCCGCAGATTTTAGTGAGTTTATAATCGAATGATCATCTGGACAAAGTAAACATTGGTTTAATCTGAATTCAATCAGACCCAGATAAAGCATTAAAGCGGATGTCTAAGCTTTGGACCATCAATTCAATTGGCAAAATGAAATCTAAATTTAACATATTTGTAGTTTAAACGAACGTCTCGACAAAAGAAAGCCAACAAGCCTAAAATCACCCAATTCTGAGATAATTAAAGCAATCAAATTATTAAAAAAAAATCTAAGATCAAGGGTGATGAATATATATTGTTCGATTAGGTGATCAGAGAAGCTATGTGCCAAAAAAAATAAAAAAACTTATACGCTAGAGACTATAAGTAAACCCTATCTTTGCTGGAGGAGGATTATAAGAAGAGAATTTTCATAGCTCAATTTGAACAAAGGACCTAATGATAAATTTTGACCTCCGTATCTATCAACCAATAGTTAGTTTAATACAATTGTTTTATTTTAATTTTGTATATGATTGTACATTAATTAGTTTCGTTACTATATTTTGATTATATAGTTATGATTGCAGGTGTATAGATTGTAGTGTTCAAGAAAGACATTAAATTTATTTTCCTGATAGTACAGGTTTTCGAAGGCTTGCTGACGGTTTCACGACCTCATCATTCTATGTCGATGATTTTCCGACAGCCTATAGAACAAACAACGTATAAACAAATGTTGCACTTTTAGCTGCAAACAAAATCATCGGTAAATTCCCACAATTAACAGATGTTTGCCCGATACTTTACAAACAGAAGCACGACATTTTTCTTACGGAAGTATAACACTTTTCCTACAAACATAAGTGTCGGTTATGTAACTGGCGTTCAAACTACGGTTAAACACGACATGTTTTTGGATCTCTAGGGACAATATGGTAAGTTAGATACCCGTCAGCTAATGTAAACTGTCATTAATTTTATTACCGATAAGCATTTTTGCTACGCAGTTTAGAGTCCGTTTGGGGCTGTTTATTTGGTGCGACGGCATTTTGAAAATGCAGCTGACCTGTTTGAGTAAACTACATTTTGGCAGTTTATGCGTTTTCAAAATGTTGAAAACAACGTTTTCACAACGCACCTATCTAGGTGCGGTGTAGGTGCGGTGGCAACTTTCTGACAAAAGTCTGACTTTTCAAAAAAATATAAAAATTTGTAATTGTCACCCCACCTAGCTTATCTATAGATTATTTTTAATCAGCTTATCAACAAATTGTTCAATAAGCTGCAACTACCTCCAAACAAACCCTTAGAGATCCCTAAACCATCGACAAATATATTCCCTATGATTTTTACATTATTACCGAAGATATTTGACTATTGGTAATAAGTTAAATTCTTGTAGTGCGATCACCATCTATAAACAATCGCCAACCATCATCGGTCGTCACCACCTACTGCTGTCAAACTCTGCTTGCAAATGTCTTATTCCAAATATGGTTGTGATGTATAACACTCTCACTGAAGCCTCGACGAATACTTACAGCCTCCGTTGTCACCTAACACTGTCAACCACCCCCTATCGGCCAATGTTGGCCACCGTCGGCCATCACCCACTGTCATTATTAACCTTTGACAGTTGACGACCCATACTTTCAAACGTTGTATCCCAAATATGATTGTAATGTACAACACAGCTACTGAAATCCCAACAATAACTTCTACCTTCCGTTGTTGTCTACCATTGTCGACCACTGTCATTCACCCACTATCGATGCCGCCCGCTATCACTTCCTGTCACAGCCGACCTCTTACAGTTGATAACCTCTACTTGCAAACATCATATCCCAAATACAGATATAACATTCAACATTTATATTGAAGACCCGGTGATAATTACAGTCCTACGTAGCCATCAACTTCCTTCGACCACAGCTAGCTATCATCGCTCGCCATAACCGACTTTTAGCCATTAGTAACCTTGCTTACAAACATCTTATCCCAAATATGACTGTAACCACCAACACCTTTTTGAAGATTCAACGATAACTACACGCATCTATAGTCGCTGCCCACCATCAATCACCACTCGTTTGTAACTATCGACCACCGTTAGCCATCACTGCCTGCTTCCACTGACCATTGGTCGTGTGATGACTACTGCTTACGACAGTTGTAGTCAGACTACTGTTGTTATTTCTAACTTTTGTATTTTTCTCCTATGCTGTATAAAGACAAATGCAGCTTTTAGTATAAGATTGTAACTTCGCTCTAAGAGAAGAGGTCTAGTGACTAACAACGGCCTCTGTGGTCACTATCATTATTATAGTCACCGACTACGGCCTCTGAGGCAAACTGCCGCTATTGCAGTCACCTAAATAAATTTTTTTTATGACCAATTACTACTTTTGTAATTATCAATTATGACTTTTGTGACCGACTACCACTGTTACAATTTTCAAATAGTCTCCATAACCAACTGTAGCTATTGCAACCATTGACTACAGCCTTCAAGGACCACTACTGTTTTTGTAGCAACCAACTATGACCATTATGGTTAACTGCTAATGTTAAGATTTCCAACTACAACCTCTGTGTCCAACTAATGCTAGTACAACTGTCGTCTGCAGCCTTTATTGCCAACTGCTGCTACTACATCTGCTGACTAGGCCTCTGTAGCTAGATATTACTACTACTACAACGATCACCTCAATCTTTATGGCCAACTATTATAAATAGAGTCAAGAACTACATTTATTGTGGACCAGTTATTATGGCTAAATTATTATTTTATATCTGTGATTATCAGTTTTGTAATTTTATGTCATCTAATTTAGGAGAATATGAATTACTTTGACTATACTAGATCCCATCAGATTTTCCCTTGGCAGTGTTTTGTAGTCTCGTCTTATTATTTTTCATTTATCTATTTATGTGATGGATATTTTTTCAATTTTAAGACATTAATTAATCATTCCATCACTATAAAATCTATAGGCATAACACACCTGAAATCTCATTAAAATCTTTAAAATTAAATTAAAAGATTAAATCCAACAAAATTTCTAGAACTTGTTAGAAATTAGCCTAATCTATGTAATTTTTATCTAATGCAACGGGTACCTTGACGAATGGCTTGTCCTCCCAAGCCAGCCGCGCATTGGTCAACATTGGAGAGGATTGAATGAAGAAAAGAATCCTTCGCTTTCGTCCGCTGGACTTGCGCGCCGGGGCCACTCCGTACACGCTTCGGTTGACTGGCTTAAGCGCGCACATTTTGTTATGCGTTGTATGCGGGGACTGCACAAAGTTGAAGAGTTTGATTGACGCCTAACTGCAGACATAGCTGCGAATTCTAAGCATATATTACGCTATATCTTAAATAATGTGTCAAGTATGGGTGTAAACGAGCCAAACACAAGCGAGCCCAGACTCAGCTCCTGTTCGGTTCATTTATATTTCGAGCTCAAAAAGTGTGTTCATGTTCGACTGTAAGAAATTTAAAGTGTTTTAAAATTTAAAGGTTTAAAGTGTCTTAATTGTATAAGTTGTTTTGATTTTAAAAGTTTAATTGGAATTTACAAGCAATTTAATCTTAAGTTATATTTTAAATACATCAATATAATATACTTTCATATTACATGAAAAATACACTTGAGAAGTTCCTTTTCTTTTTTAAATCACATAATTAACATATGAAAGATTACTTAACACATTGAGAAGATTTCACATAGAGAACATTTCATATGGAGGAAATTTCATATTAAGAAAACTACACACGAAAATGTTTACACATGCATGGAGACTACGAAGTCTGCACATAGTGGAAATTGCATATAGGCAAAAGTAAACATGAAGATGTCAACATATGGAGACCACGCAGGAAGCATATTATATATATATAAGTGTATACATGGAGTAAACTATACATGAAGCATATTATATGTGGAGAAGTGTACACATAGAGTAATTATACCATGATTCATATTATACTTAGAAAATTATATACGTTGAGTAAAATACACATGGATAATAATTTATATGAAGCAAACAACATTCAAACTACACATGGTACCAAGTTCTTATACATGAAAGAACTTAGGGAAAAAAACTACACATTAGAAATTACTTCACTTCATACAAACTACACATAAGAAATAAATTTACTTAATAATCTACATGTGCAAACTAACATCACATAAGGGAATTATTTAAGAATGAACATCATATAAACAAAATTATTATGATATAAACTTCACACAAGAAATCCACAAAAATAAATGCTTGAAGAAGCATATGTAGTTGTGATAGCCTTTGGCCATGAAAATGAAAAGAAGAAGAAGAAGAAGTGAGGTAGGGAATAAGATAAGAAGGGTAGTGGTTTGCTTAGCTAAGATAAGGAGGAGAATAGTGGTGAGAAGAATAAAAGGAAGAGAGGGTGGTGGTGAGAAAAGAAAGAGGAAGAGATTGTTATGGTGAGAGGAAGGAGACGAGTGGATTTTTTGGCTAAGAGAAGAAGAGGAAGAAGGTAGTGGTGGTGAGATGAAGAGAAGAAGAAGAATGTTGTGATGAGAAGAGAAGAAGAAGAAGAAGATTGTAGTTGAGAGATGAAGAAG